CTCCCGGACACATGCATTTACCATGTTGTTTAGTGCGCCAGGTGGAGTGTTTGACATCGATGTTCCCCAGAGTTGTGTATAGGCTGACACCATGTCCAAAGGCAGTTAATGATGATGACGTCACAGTCAAGAAGCGATTCCTCAAATGAAGAATACGTAACTACCTATCTTCCTTGGGTGTTGTGACAGGTGGTCTGCCTGTCCTGGGGCTGTCTTTTCTGACCTGTATCGTGACACTAATCTGATGATTGTTTCACGAATCTAGCGACAGTGTCATGTCTGGCTCCAACCTGCAGCATACCAATTGGCCCTTCTCTCTGTTCTGCCGACAAACATAGCATGTTACTGTTGATTCCTGGACTATGTATTGACAAATAAAGTGAGCTGTTTTATTTCCATATTCAATCCTGAGATTATGCTTCCACAGGCATTTTCAATTTTAGCAAAAGAATTTCGGAATTCAATGACCTAAAGCAACATTTATATTTGAACACGTGTCTGTTGCATTTATACGATCATGTAATTTACTTGATCAGGAACCATTTGTTCGTGTTCAAATCCAAATTCTAATAAATTTGATGTAGGTATATTTTGTTTTGCACGTTGGTGTATTAATGAACATAGGGTGTACTTATACATGTACTTAAAGGAAACAAAGTTAGACCCGCGATAACCATTAACCATCTTGTTTGTCAACAGACAAACTCCAGGTTCTAAGAACAAATCTTCTGAGACCCATAACACTATGTTGCTGTTATCAGACTCCACATGTTTCCGGAGAAATAAAGTCCTTGACATGTATGACAAGAACATCTTTTTCTTTACTTTCATCTGGCTCATCTCGTTTGAAGAAACCTGTTATGATATGGTTGGCTGTGGAAATCCATTACTCCAGTATAATACAAGTGGTGAATATGACGTACACAGAGGGAGATTAACAGGAAATGTTATGATGCTAATTTAATATAAAAGCTTGCTAATTAACAACCCTACTGATGTTAGACGGTAATTACCCCCGAAGATAGCGCATGGATGCACAGAGAGTGATGACAGAACCAGAAGCGATAATTAACCTTTGTCCTCTTTCCCAAGTCCAACTCAGCTTCAGATAAGGTGTCCGGTCGCCGTCCTTGTCATAATGACGTGACCTCGAAATGGTTGACCCCTGGGACAACCATGGACAGCCGATAAGGTGCAGTGTTTGGAGTCTCTGGTGTGCATGAATTTTGTCAGGTTGTCAGAGGCTGCTAATCCCCCTGCCCCCCAGAAAGTGCAAGAAGTTTCAGACAAGAGTTTCATGCACATGAGGCTTAAAAATATTTCTTTTCATATATTTCCGTGTGTATCACTTTATAAAGTGAAGCATCAATTAGAAACAAAATAAATGTGTCTTTACATACTAATTAATTATTTCATCTGGACCGTCGTGCGTTATTGTCAGTGAAAAAAAGCCCCGTTAGTTAATAATATCAGTTTCATTATGAACAACATAAATACGCGTGTGGCGCTTACCGGTTTTCACACCTCCAAACAGTGACAGTGACACTGGTAGTGTAAGTGAGGGTAGAGTGACACTGGTATTTTGAGTGAGTGACTGTAGAGTGACACTGGTATTTTAAGTGAGTGACTGTAGAGTGAAACTGGTGGTGTGAGTGAGTGACTGTAGAGTGACACTGGTGGTGTGACTATAGAATGGCACTGGTGGTGTGAGTGAGTGACTGTAGAGTGACACTGGTGGTGTGAGTGAGTGACTGTGGAGTGACACTGATGGTGTGAGTGACTGTAGAGTGACACTGGTAGTGTGAGTGAGTGACTGTGGAGTGACACTGATGGTGTGAGTGACTGTAGAGTGACACTGATGGTGTGAGTGAGTGACTGTGGAGTGACACTGATGGTGTGAGTGAGTGACTGTGGAGTGACACTGATGGTGTGAGTGACTGTAGAGTGACACTGGTAGTGTGAGTGAGTGACTGTGGAGTGACACTGATGGTGTGAGTGACTGTAGAGTGACACTGATGGTGTGAGTGAGTGACTGTGGAGTGACACTGATGGTGTGAGTGAGTGACTGTAGAGTGACACTGATGGTGTGAGTGACTGTAGAGAGACACTAGTGGTGTGAGTGAGTGACTGTACAATGACACTGGTAGTGTGAGTGAGTGACTGTAGAGGGACACTGGTGGTGTGAGTGAGTGACTGTAGAGTGACACTGGAAGTGTGAGTGAGTGACTGTAGAGTGACACTGGTAGTGTGAGTGAGTGACTGTAGAGTGACACTGGTAGTGTGAGTGAGTGACTGTAGAGTGACACTGGTGGTGTGAATGAGTGACTGTACAATGACACTGGTAGTGTGAGTGAGTGACCGTAGAGTGACACTGGTAGTGTGAGTGAGTGACTGTAGAGTGACACTGGTAGTGTGAGTAAGTGACTGTAGAGTGACACTGGTGGTGTGAGTGAGTGACTGTAGAGTGACACTGGTGGTGTGAATGAGTGACTGTACAATGACACTGGTAGTGTGAGTGAGTGACTGTAGAGTGACACTGGTGGTGTGAGTGAGTGACTGTAGAGTGACACTGGTGGTGTGAGTGAGTGACTGTAGAGTGACACTGATGGTGTGAGTGACTGTAGAGTGACACTGGTAGTGTGAGTGAGTGACTATGGAGTGACACTGATGGTGTGAGTGCTGTAGAGAGTCACTGGTGGTGTGACTGAGTGACTGTACAATGACACTGGTAGTGTGAGTGAGTGACTGTAGAGTGACACTGGTGGTGTGAGTGAGTGACTGTAGAGTGACACTGGTGGTGTGAGTGAGTGACTGTAGAATGAATTGTCAGTCTCAGTTATTTGTATTATCTCGACAATTGTCAGTCTTAATTATTTGTATTGTCTTGACAATTGTCAGTGTCAGTTATTTGTATTGTCTCGACAATTGTCAGTCTTAATTATTTGTATTGTCTCGACAATTGTCAGTCTCAGTTATTTGTATTGTCTCGACAATTGTCAGTCTCAGTTATCTGTATTGTCTCGACATACATGTTTCTTGACTTTTTACGTTTGTTACTTCTGCCAATTTACCACAAACGTTTGCTGGCAAGAATATATGTCTGATTTACATCTGAAAAATATGTTGTATCATCGGAGTGTTTACGTGGCTTTGGGACAGTACTTTTAATCCAATACGTGTAAATCCCACCGACAACCCTTCATCAATTACAATTTCATCCCATTGATAAATTCAATTTGAGCCTAATGTCATTATGGCTGCTAGTTACTGTGTCCACATCGTAAGACGCTTGACTCGATCGAGTGGCGTCATGGTCTTAGGGGTTTATTGTCAGTGCTTAGTTTGTTACGACTATGTCCTCTTCAGACGGCTCCATACTCAACACTGACGTTCTGCAATGTAGTTTCAGTTGATCATAGCACGCCGGCTTCCAAATGGACGCCTGGGCCTGTCAGTTGTTTGGGGTCTCTTCCATGCTTCATTTAAAAACATAATTACGATGAAGTCGAAGTTTTTAATTTAGATGTCAACTGCATTTTTGTTGCAACATTATCTTTCCGTTCTTTCCACGTAATAATTTTCTGAAGTTCGATTTCATCACGCTAGGAGAAACAGTGAATAGTCACACTAGCCTCATCCATGTCATTATCATATAGATGCACACCTTTCCGAGAGTGTTGTTGGCGTTGAAGGCCATATATTTGTTTCCAACTATGATCTAATCACAGGAAGTCAATTATTAAAGAGCACGTTTCTATTACGTGTCGCAATAACCAGGCGAACATTATACCGAGGCGGCGTGCATCATGAAGCAACGTGAAGCAAGTAGCAATGGGGAAAGTGGATGCATAATTAACTATCCTACTCGATAGCAATACTGTCGGGTGTGAGACATCACTTTGGCACTCTGGTTGTGTCACCCACGCCGTTCGTGGTTCCTTTTTTGTGACGCTGTAAAACTGAAGCTTCTGACACGGTGTAATTGATGGGACATGTTTACCACTTCAGCCACCAGAACCATCAAAGTTTGTCAGGCACTTAGCGAATTAGACTTTAGTCTTCAGTCATTAAAGTGTAAGAAGGAACTGAGAAGTGCATTCACTCCTCGGAAAACAAAATCTGAAAAGAGGATGTTTACTGTTTCACGAAATGTCCTGTGTGCAGTGTATCAGCCCAACCATAATGTCCACGTGTACTTCACAGCATCAATTATAACGCGTGACCTGTATATCCTCTATGCAATTTAATGGTCCTATTAAATTTTTATAAATAGGTGTTAAATGTGCAATCATTATAACAGTGATATACGTCGATAGCGCTACAACAAAACCCATATGATAGGAGGGTAAATTATCATATACAAGCTGTCCAGCATATAGCGGTACAAACAGTAGGCATGTGTGCGCGAAGTAATCGTTGGTGAAATCATCAAATGCCTCATAAAATGCACGTAGAAGGCTGCAGGAGTTGTCAGAGACATCCGAATCCAGTTAGTTAGTCTTCGTGTAAGAGAGTGCCTGCGTTTATGTATGTCTGGGAACAAAAGATGTGAAAGGTGCTTTTGAACTCACTGATATCCGAATACATTTCTTACACCTGCTGCGTAGTATGTTTCAATGACCGTACAACTTAGAGCAGTCACGTTGATGTAATGCATTTGTATTATATTTACACACACTTTGTGTGTGTGCAGCTAGTTCAGGTTCAGGTTATATATATGTAGGGAATCGACTTCTCCACCCTGTCCTTGTCACTCTTACCCTTAGCAATTTGTTGGGGGGAAAAAGATTGGTATAATATTAATTGTTGTATTACGATTTTCCTTCCTGATAATTTGAACTAATATTTCTCTAGTGTGTTTTTTTAATTCCGAGAAATGTTACACTTAAGCTATTTTGACGAATCGCATTGTTTTTTTTCTTACTTTGAAGTAGAAATTCGACGAAGTTACTACATACAGCGTCGTACATTTGTGTATTTGACTGCATCTTCGGTTTCAGTCGGTGGTAATGTTTGCTTCTACCTACATGCTGGTGTCTCTCAGTATCGACAGACTGGACGCGGTCGCTCGCCCTATGCTCTTCAGTGGCAGCTGTATGTATATCTACCTTGTTGATTTGTGGGTGTCTGTGCGCGTGTGTGAGTGTGCATCTAGCATCTGTTCCTAAGAAATAGACATGTCGCCACGGTTCCCAAACAAAGTTAGTGATAACATTTAGAAGCTTCCATGTGTGAGAGACTGAAGTGCAGGAGGGCGTGGGACAATGATGGTCATAAGGATGGTGAGTATGTAGTGCCTTGTTCATCAAGTGATCAAGACCAACTCTCAGCTTGGATAAGGGGAACCGTGTGTCATCCCAAGGGCATCAACCGTGGCTCATATTATCGAGTGTTTAACGCTGCTATTGGTATTCAAGCTATATGACGACCGGAAAATTATCAAGTCTGTACGACAATCCACTGCTAACAAGCAGGCACAGCAACCCATGGGGCACGATGACAATCAATCAGCTCACATCACATTCCTAGCCTAAGAGGCGACTAAATGCATTGGGTAGTCAGGCTCGGTGACTTGGCTGATCGTGTGTCCTCGTACCCCGACAAAGTGGGAAGTTCCTCATAGCATTAAACACTTGAATGTCAGGCCGACGTCCTGTAGCTGGAGTGAGTGAGTCAGTGTGGTTTTACGCCGCTTTTCGCGCTATTCCCGCAATATCACGGCGGTGGACACCAGAAATGGGCTTCATACATTGTACCCATGTCGGGAATCGAACCCGGGTCTTTGGCGTGACGAGCAAACGCTTTAACCACTGGGCTACCCGACCGCCCCCTGTAGCTGTAATAATGATGAGCGTTGGACAACAAACAAATTGTATGTTAGCCCTACATGTAGACTGTTCTTTTGAAGGGAAGCGAGCGAGGCTGTTGATAGGTGGGGCGTGGCTACTGTCTCTCCTCTTCTCCATCCCAATGTTGGTGCTGTTCCACGAGGCGCACGTTGACGGAGGTCCCCAGTGTTACATCACCATGCCGCATGACTGGCACTGGCAGGTACATCTACACACACCTTACTTGTTCAGATACTCCAATAGACTTCTTCAAGTTGCATTTAGAAGTTGGTATGATGAACAAGGGAGTTAGTTCGAGGGATCTACAACAAATTAATAGCCACCTTGGCGCCTGATAGATAACGTTAATATGAAACCGTTAAGGGCATGTCCGGTTGCTAATAGGTTATTTCCTCATTGAAACAAAAGATGATGCAAGTATAATAAAACATTTAAACTTTATTCGTGACAATATGTTGTTTACAACCTTTTTATGATCGATATTCATCGCCATCTCTGTCAACCACCACCGTTAGGATTTGGCAGAAGGGGATTTGAAAGTCCATTACAAAACGCTAAAGGGCTCGGTTCAAAATTTAAATAAGAGGTATCTACTCTACGGTGGGACTATATCAAATTTTAAAACACAGTAAGTTTATTTCCTAAACGTCGCATTCATTTTAATAAGGACGTTGTATATCCATATAACTATCTCCCTTGATCTCCAATAAAGTACAAACTTATCGCAGTTTGGTGTGATGAGTGGGTACCAGTGTACGAACTTGAGAACTTGTGCAACATGTAGGGACTATGTACCAAAGTGTATGAGTTGTGTCTTAGTTGGGTGTGTTGAGTTAGTTGTATATCTATTTGTGAACATGTAGCAATATGTGCCTAATACAATATTAGATATACTGACAATATCTTTCAAGTTGTAATGATCGACTTCTTCTTTAATAGCTTCCGCTTTAATCTGTTAAGGGCATCATTAGCTGTATAAATCATGATTTACGTATTCCAACTTCATTGCCCACCAAAAAGAGTTTTGATTCCCGAACAGAAACAAATGCAGATGATGAAAGTATTAGCTATGTACTGCCGATGTGAATCGTTCGGTGGACATAGATATTCCCGGGGCAATTTGGTATTTTGTTTAATTTAATGCTATACAAAACATAACATTCTAACTTTATTGATTGGCTATTTATGATTAACTCTAATGCGATGTGACAAAACAATGACAATGAATAGGTTCTGTTTAACCTGTCCCCAACAACATCCACATGGACCTGGGTTTCATTCTAGCTTTACTTAACCCTGATTGCCATCAGTCTGTTCGTCATCCCCGCCATCATCATCTGCATCTGCTACCTCGTCATCATCTTCACCATCTGGCGGAGCAGCATCCTGTTAAAGCCTCAAGACACGCCCGAGCAGAAGAGGGCGAGAAGGAAGTCCAAAGATGAAGGTAACAACCTAACAGTAACATCTCCCCTTCCTAGTCACAATATAGGTGCCATGACTGTGCATATTGGTAGTAAAGATCTCTCGTTGATGCTTGTTCAGTAGAACCAGCCTTTGTTAGATATGTTAGAGGATATCCGAAAATGAAAATAGATGCCATATATGATTGCGTTTATATATCACATAATATCTTTTCGTTATTCTACACGTTTCATAGTTTAAGATATTTTTCACTTTATCAGCCTAGCGTTTACATATTACCAGTTTATTATCCGTATGCACTTTACTTTATTAAGATTTATTGCTTGCTTTTAGTTATCAGTTTACTGTTTACACATTGCCAGTGTCCACTGTAAACGCCCTTGTCATCAGTCAATATGCCTGTTATTGATATGTAGTGCATTCGTTACTTTTTATCAAGTTTATATTTGTCACAATGAACAATATACTTGTTTATTTAAGAATTGACTTCACTTTGTGTGAGGTCATTGGCGTATAAACCTCCATAGAGTGAGGGCCAAACTGTCATTCTATGAACGTCGATTCTTATCATGTTTATATCACTATTTTGTTCCCCGAATGATATAGATCTATACACAATTTTTATTTTCCGCACGTGACTTCGTGTTTACATTGACAACAACCAGCTGATAGGAGAGCTGACATGAGCGTATGTATGCTCATGTATGTTTGTCTACGGTGACATCTTTTGTAGTTAACAACAAATATATTCAAATAATATCATAAGATCAGAAATGTTTGTTAAGAACTACCTCAGTAAGTCAGTCACAATGACAGCGCGTCGTAATACATTCAAATCAAGTACAAGATGTCAAAATGTCCGACATCATAAACGTGACGGGAGAGATTTCCGAAGTTGTTCATGAACCTTTAGCGATTACAAGTGTTAGTCATCATTGATGAATTGGCCCATCATTGAAAACGATTGTAAAGATGTTTTAATTAAGTACTAAGGTTAATTCATAGATTTCTGTAGACTGTCACTCTCAGCCTAGACACGGATCGAGTCTATATTACCATAGTTTGGATGTGCATTGCCTCCGTTTGTTCACATGGAGGGGTCTCAGCGAGGATATTCGTGAACTAAACTGTCTGACTTTTCTCAATGTATGCTAAAACGCTCAATATTAACTGGTATAAATAATCAGAAACAACGCTTGTGCATGTGTTTGTGCCAGGGATTTCCCAAGAATGTGGAAGTAGTCCGTCAGTGTTTACGTCATTTCAAGAATACAGTCTTGTGAAATATGTATGAACGTCAAAATGTGTCATTCATACGCTTATGAACGTCAATTTCGCTGTTATATGACCGTCCTCTCGTCCAATGGAAAAGCCGAATTTCGGTGTAAACTTCTTATTGAATGAATGCTAGTTCATGCACAAATGTACCACAATAGTCCTGCGTGGAGTTAACACGTACATGAAACGTTATTACAGAGATACGAGGGCTGGTCAAACCGTTCTAAGACTGACTTTCAACTATGGACCATAACAAAGTGAACTAGTCAATGTAATACATTGTTTGAATAGTTCATTGCACTTATATGTGGTCTGTTGAGGGCCGTTTGTATACTAGTGACAGTCGGTTGAACGTGATAGGGGCCCTGAACTGAAAGAACACCTTCGTGGAAAGCGCTAAGACGACAACGATGACATCAAAGCTGCCATAAATGGCTTTTTCAGGGTGGCATCAGAAAACTTCTTCTTGACTGGAATTGAAAAGCTTCACTATCGATATGAGAAGTGTATTGAAAAGCAGGGAGATTATGTTGAAAAATAAAATTAGAAACACTTTCACAAATGTTAGTTTTGTTTGTTGGGCTTAGAAATTTTTGACCAGCAGGTGCTCGTACTGGAGCTCGAGGACTCGATATGTATTTACGCATTAACCTAACACTGGTAGTGGCGAGGATCAGGTACATGGGCCCCGTCTCAACCTACTTACGTTTCCTTCTGGAAGATAGTAGGTTATTTCTCTATTTATCAAGGTAGCATAATTTTGTTTGAAATAAAAGCTTGTCCAGATATAATGGTCACTTGTTCATTTACTTTGACACTGTAAATGCATGTATGCTATGTTTGAAAGTTTACTTAAGACATTGTACATGCATGTGTGCTATGTTGGACAGTTCACTTAAGACATTGTACATGCATGTGTGCTATGTTGGATAGTTTACGTGGGACATTGTACATGCATGTGTGCTATGTTTGACAGTTTACTTAAGACATTGTACATGCATGCGTGCTATGTTGGACAGTTTACTTAAGACATTGTACATGCATGTGTGCTATGTTGGACAGTTTACTTAAGACATTGTACATGCATGTGTGCTATGTTGGACAGTTTACTTAAGACATGTACATGCATGTGTGCTATGTCGGACAGTTTACTTAAGACATTGTACATGCATGCGTGCTATGTTGGACAGTTTACTTAAGACATGTACATGCATGCGTGCTATGTTGGACAGTTTACTTAAGACATTGTACATGCATGTGTGCTATGTCGGACAGTTTACTTAAGACATTGTACATGCATGTGTGCTATGTTGGACAGTTTACTTGGGACATTGTACATGCATGTGTGCTATGTTGGACAGTTTACTTAAGACATTGTACATGCATGTGTGCTATGTCGGACAGTTTACTTAAGACATTGTACATGCATGTGTGCTATGTTGGACAGTTTACTTAAGACATTGTACATGCATGTGTGCTATGTCGGACAGTTTACTTAAGACATTGTACATGCATGTGTGCTATGTTGGACAGTTTACTTAGGACATTGTACATGCATGTGTGTTATGTTGGACAGTTTACTTAAGACATTGTACATGCATGTGTGCTATGTTGGACAGTTTACTTAAGACATTGTACATGCATGTGTGCTATGTCGGACAGTTTACTTAAGACATTGTACATGCATGTGTGCTATGTCGGACAGTTTACTTAAGACATTGTACATGCATGTGTGCTATGTCGGACAGTTAACTTAAGACATTGTACATGCATGTGTGCTATGTCGGACAGTTTACTTAAGACATTGTACATGCATGCGTGCTATGTTGGACAGTTTACTTAAGACATTGTACATGCATGTGTGCTATGTCGGACAGTTTACTTAAGACATTGTACATGCATGTGTCCTATGTTGGACAGTTTACATAAGACATGTACATGCATGTGTGCTATGTTGGACAGTTTACTTAAGACATTGTACATGCATGTGTGCTATGTTGGACAGTTTACTTAAGACACTGTACATGCATGTGTGCTATGTCGGACAGTTTACTTAAGACATTGTACATGCATGCGTGCTATGTTGGACAGTTTACTTAAGACATTGTACATGCATGCGTGCTATGTTGGACAGTTTACTTAAGACATTGTACATGCATGTGTGCTATGTTGGACAGTTTACTTGGGACATTGTACATGCATGTGTGTTATGTTGGACAGTTTACTTAAGACATTGTACATGCATGTGTGCTATGTTGGACAGTTTACTTAAGACATTGTACATGCATGTGTGCTATGTCGGACAGTTTACTTAAGACATGTACATGCATGTGTGCTATGTCGGACAGTTCACTTAAGACATTGTACATGCATGTGTGCTATGTTGGACAGTTTACTTAAGACATTGTACATGCATGTGTGCTGTGTTGGACACTTTACTTAAGACATTGTACATGCATGCGTGCTATGTTGGACAGTTTACTTAAGACATTGTACATGCATGTGTGCTATGTTGGACAGTTTACTTAAGACATTGTACATGCATGTGTGCTATGTTGGACAGTTTACTTAAGACATTGTACATGCATGTGTGCTTTGTCGGACAGTTTACTTAAGACATTGTACATGCATGTGTGCTATGTTGGACAGTTTACTTAAGACATTGTACATGCATGTGTGCTATGTTGGACAGTTTACTTAAGACATTGTACATGCATGTGTGCTATGTTGGACAGTTTACTTAAGACATTGTACATGCATGTGTGCTTTGTCGGACAGTTTACTTAAGACATTGTACATGCATGTGTGCTATGTTGGACAGTTTACTTAAGACATTGTACATGAATGTGTGCTATGTTGGATAGTTTACTTAAGACATTGTACATGAATGTGTGCTATGTTGGACAGTTTACTTAAGACATTGTACATGCATGTGTGCTATGTTGGACAGTTTACTTAAGACATTGTACATGCATGTGTGCTATGTTGGACAGTTTACTTAAGACATTGTACATGCATGTGTGCTATGTTGGACAGTTTACTTAAGACATGTACATGCATGCGTGCTATGTTGGACAGTTTACTTAAGACATGTACATGCATGTGTGCTATGTTGGACAGTTTACTTAAGACATTGTACATGCATGTTTGCTATGTTGGATAGTTTACGTGGGACACTGTACATGTGTGCTATGTTGGACAGTTTACTTAAGACATTGTACTTGCATGTTTGCTATGTTGGATAGTTTACGTGGGACACTGTACATGCGTGCTATGTTGGACAGTTTACTTAAGACATGTACATGCATGTGTTTTATGTTGGAAAGTTTACTTGGGACATTGTACATGCATGTTTGCTATGTTGGATAGTTTACGTGGGACACTGTACATGTGTGCTATGTTGGAAGAGTGTTAATTTGTACATGTGTATTTGTATTTGTCGTCTCTTTCAGAACTTTTAACCGGAAGCATGACTACTTCTCGGAGCGACAGTTGTACCAGTTCACGAGGAATCATTCCTCAAGCAAAAGTTCGAACTATTAAAATGACTTTCATAATAGTTTTAGGTGAGTTATACTTATGCAACAAGCTCAATAGGTTATTACACCATTTATTCCTTTGCGAGCGATAGTTCGTATTTCTGTCGAGGATTTCCCTTTTCATAGATATTCTATTTATTCCAGTTGTGACTTGAAACTACTACTTCCTAATGGTCAAAACTGTGACACGAACATTATGAGGTCACAAATGGCTCATTGAACTCTTTAAAAGTCGTTTTTCAATACGTGCAGCTTAAATATTCTTCCCTCTATCCATACTCATGCTAAACATGCTTATTTTAATATCCGACTACATTCGCCGACAACCGCCAGCGTTGAGAACTATGGTGAACATCTTGCCGAGGTACCTTTCAGGTAGCAGGCAGCAGAGGTCTACAGCCTGAATGACCTGACGTTGAATTCTTGTGACGTTGTGTAAAAATTTGATCTTTGTGGTTTCCAAGTATTAATAGATTTGTTAGTAATATTTGTTGATAGATTAGTAGTTACTACTCAGTGATATGTTATGAGTTGTTTTACTGTGTTTTGTCGACTGGTTCGTAAAGGGATTAAAGGTTTAATATGTCAAAATGTGCTTGAAATACTGCCGACATCACACTTAATCCTACTTGGGTTATAAATTACAAGACAAACCCGAACCCGAATAGGCAATCTGAAAGCGATATGTATATTATATATAGAATACTAAACTCGAGCCCGCTTTCGCTCGTCAGATACCAGATCTGTTCACGAGTTTCATAAAATTGGTATTACGCGGGAGCGAATTTACTATTATATGTATTACATGCCGTTTATAACTCTTTCAAAATTTCACTATCGAGTGTGAATAGGCAGACATCCACGCGATCCACATCATAATCCAGTCGAGTTTAACAGAATAATACACTTCAAACACGTCAAAAGGTGACACGTATGAATTTGATACCATACAACGGCCTACCTTTAGTATTCAGGGATCCGTTCCACAAAGCTGTCGTAGCGCCAAGGTTATAGTAACTTCCATACTTTAACATAGACTTACGACTCGATTAATTCGATTATATATCCTGTACTTCAGTAACATTCGGTCGTCTATATTCTTTCTAAATACCCTTAGTCGGGTAAATGCATTTTATACAATACATACTAACTATATTGTCAATATTTCATACATTATAATCCCCTCTCTGTATTTTTCAGTTTTTATCGTATGCTGGAGTCCATACTTTATATTCAACCTGTTTCAAGTATACGGCTATGTTCCCCACACACCGACCATGGGAAAGATATCCACATTTGTTCAAAGTCTGGCCCCTTTAAACTGTGCCGCTAACCCTGTTATATACGGCATCTTCAGTACACGGATCTGCAGATACTTAAGGTAAGTTGGCAGGTAAAGGGCGAATGAAGACTTAGAACGTTGTTTGATGTTGGCATTGTAGTTACTCATCCCCTACAGTGAGTTATAGTTATACAATATGCCCTGGCTTTCCTCAACCCAAAGAACATATAACCTTTGTAATGCCGTGCGATTGGTTTCCGCCAATGCAAATTCACAACAAAATCAGTGCATACAATATGTTAAACTGTTAGATCGACGAGATCGGCTTCCAAAACAATAACAATTTAAAGAAATAATTTCCTAAATTTTAGAAGACAGAATTCTGGACCAGGACCAGAATTTTGCACGAAAGAAATTCGTAAACCAAGATACAAAAAAGTAGATTGATCTTTTACCATATACTAATCGTCACATGGTCTGTTACGACTGTTAATGCTCTCTATAATACCAGCACACTCTTTATGGCGAGTGGGAGAACGGTTTGAGATATTCCATCTCATTTCATAGGCAAGGGCGGTTGTTATGTCAAATGACTTGCAAACCTGACAAATTTGTCTGCGTGTAATGGTAGAGGGATTTCCTGCAGATTCCCTGACCCGATGTCTTGTTAATTATTGTACAAAGAGTGCCGTTTATGTAATTAATAACAACGATTGATCTTCGGACGGACATTCCCTATTTGACACGACGAACGTCATTCCAGTATTGTCTAGACACTGTTTCCTTTCGACCTTTCGTGGGCTTCACAACCGACAAATAATGTAAAGTTTATATTTCACAATAGCATCTTACCGCTCATCATGAAGTTATATGCATGCCATCTTGGGACGCAAATAGTGAGACCACACACAAACGAACATCAGGAGAAACGGACATTATTAAATCTGAGATTCATCTGATTACTGAAAATATTATTTCCTTAATCTACCCGTTGTAAGTCCTCATGCATCAAATATGTTTAGAGTGCCAACATACAAATCTCCGATACACTAATTACTGTGACCACGACAAACCTTATGCTCTTTCTTCAACGACCGTCTTGTAAAAACTACTCTATAGAGAAGCCGCAGAGATTGTTATTGGTAACGAGATTGACATGAACCATCCCAGCTAAAGACCAGCCAAGATGCTTTTCGTGTTTTGTGGATTTAATGAGAATGTCCTACAGAAATAATTCTTGATCAATTTGACGGCACGGGCCATTTTCATGATGGCTCTTAAACCCCCGGTAAGTGTCTGGAACTAGGAGTAAGATCGTCTAATAATGTTTCTAGGACTTACCCCCTGGGGGCATCAGGCGGACGAGAGAGGAAAGCATAGACAATAAGACTATCTCTTCCCTGTGCTTAGACAATCACCAAATTAAGACCGGCTGACAGAGTAAGCGGGTTGGGGGGTTCGTTAAGGCGTTTTCATTTCGTCAACACAATAGCGTTTGTTCCAGTTTTTCCCGCCAGTGATCGTGGGATTTATGACAAGCAATTATTGAAAGCAAACTTGGACTGTCTGTGACAAAGGGATTGCGCCGTTCCGTGTCAGTGTTCTGTGATGTGTCCTCCTTCAAGTAACCCGTCTATATTGACATAATATTCGATGTATAGTTAAGGTGTCAGTACTGTCCTAATGTGATCCATGGAGACAGCTGCTGTGTGTCAACTGATTCTATAAATTATGTCTTGTCCAGTCCCGTCGCTTTTCACAGCAGTTAATGAACTAAGCGAACTATGGAGAACCCTGTAAGTGGCTCTTTGAGAAATACGTAGATTATGAAACATAAAAGTAGATTACATGTTTTCGTGGACATCTTCCTATGTAAGCAGTAAAGTACCACGCAAAGTATTGCTTACTGCATTCCTTTCCGAATAGTTGTATCTGACAAATGTTACTCTATCTGCAATATATATTTCTTATAAAACTTGAACTCTCTAGGAAGGTCATATGCAGATTACTTTGTACCTACCAGTCGAAAACCATATTCAGTGAAAACCTTACATTCAGAAGCTTAACAACCTAAAACTAATTCTTGTGCATCTGTCTGCGTCCTGTTTCTCTATCATATATGTCGTGCATGCTGTGGTACCAGTCGAGGGAATCTTCATCGTGTCCTTTTCCCTTTTAACTGCGCCCGGATAGTAGCTGTACTGTTTTACTGTACGAATCCCCACTTTCTAAATTCCTTAAATTCCTGAAGATGATCCTTACCTAATGCCGATAACTAATTCTCACTTATGACATGAGACTCAAGCGGGGTCTGGAATCAAATTATACTTTGTAAAAGAAAAGCTAATATGTAATCATCGGACAAAATGAAATAAAATACATTTTACCCGAACTAAAATCGTATCACTTCATGATAATGTTCAGATAGCTAGGTTTCATAAACTAATTTAGGTACAATCGATGCGTCGCAGGCTCTTTCCTCAGGGTCACGCCTTTAAAGTAATCACATCCATGCCCTAATAGGGCGGCTAATGGTTCTGCATTGAAGCATTTTGCTTCCCGATTAGGGTTCGGTTCGGAACTTAAAATGCATTCTGAAACGTCCCCCCCGATCGCTTCTGTGGCACTAGACCACTCAGTGCGCGACCGAAAGCATTGCTAGTTCTGACTCATTTCTGTAAACGATGATATTCCGTAATCCCGAGCGCTAAGAATAAACAAAGTTACCTGCTCCTCAGATATATCTGGACAGAAGACACAACGTTTACTGCTTCACTGACTGCATGCTGTCGTAAAAATTTGATTGTCTTTTTAGAATGATATTGTCATAAGCGTATACAATACATGAAAATATTCACAAATATGTAAAACACGAAATTCCGTTTTCTCAATTTCACAGGGGCTAAGCGCTGTCCTTGCCAAACCGCAAGTTGGTAGAAAACTGGTATGTGTCGAAAACTAGGTGCCTTTCAGCCTGAAAACGACATTATTAATTCATACTGGCAATATGACAATATTCAGAGCTACTTAACAAAATATACTCTGTACGAGTGGATGGTAGTTGGTGTAAACTGTCGAAGTTGTTGCTGTTCTATATAAGCTCACTGTGGCGGTAGTTGTAGCTTGACAACATCTCATTAATAACTTGTTTCTGCGTTCAAATTGACGACAAACCCAAAATGAGGCCATGATGAGGACATTTATCCTTCTTGGAATGACGGAAGTCATTTTTCATTTCTGAATAGTTCCTAATAATTACAGTGAATTCATTTGACAGGCAGTGGTAGGCCATATTAAGAGTTGTACGTCTTCAGACATGATTCACACATTAAATCATGTTTCGCTTTGAAGCTCGGGGACTGGTTTAAACGGCACACATAACTAATTGAGTGCCCAATTGGTACTAAAGACACACGAAAGACCTTGGTATAAGTAACATATGGAATACTGCCAAACACCAGTATAAGGCCAGTGTTTTAACCGAGGAAGAAATCTGGCTTATTAACTTTTGACTCGACACTTAAACCTGGAGACATGTCCATTCCTCTTTTGCTCTAGATTCCACAATTCCATAAAATGTCTGTACAAAGAGAGATCTATTGCTTGGTCCAACGCAAGTACTACCAAATCTCTGTTTCAACGATTAACCATCTGTAATACATTCAAGGAAGGGCGTATTTCCAACATTCACAGAACGGCATTTGCTTGAATGTTTTCAATTTCAGAAAAGAACTAAGTTCAATTAATTTAACCCATTTGATTTTTCAACTTTGTACACCCCCGTATCCCACATGACAAACTTAAGGGAAAACTTCATTCCTTGTCCAGGAGGCATCTGTTTCTAATCGTGGGGACAATAGTTACATCTTTAAATTCAGCGGTTCGGGACAAATTGTTCAAAATGAAAGCAAATGTCATCAGAAGTTTACTGAGAACACAATATGTGAAATGCCGGACTTCCTAATTGATATCACCAATGATGGCAGCTCCAGCCTTTGGTGTCTATATCGCACAACATTTGAGGTACAATCGAACTTGCTCTTTCTACGGATATTTCAAAGAGCGTCATGAAACTCTTGCTCAAAAGGTGTTTGATCAAGGATAGGACACGTGGATGACATTATGATATTTGACCCATCAATGATAAAATTGATGTCCAATGCAATTCCGTATTTCGACTTGTAACCTATGTTCCCGGTTTGTTTTTGTTAGATTTGGCTTTGCGACCTGTACCGCCGGCGGGGCATGATACGCTCACCTTTTCGCGAACACCTGTTATCATCACTATTTGATAATGATTCGTGAACACATGTTTTTAATATAGACAGACACGTACAATGGATGTTTATATGATTATAGAAATGTTGGCGTTTTTGTCGCTTTTATTCAACAAGAGAGTGAATTCGTTATTTCTTAACGCCACACAAATTTGCAGCAATTCAAGGTAGTTGAAATACTATGAGCTAATAAATGGACTAACGAAACGTCCTACAATGCCTTCATCAATGTCCCTGCTGTGTAATCTGTTCATTTTAATGTAACATTCTTATACTAATTATGACTACACAGACAGTATTATTCCTACAACCTTGCAATAGACAAATACATTTGTTCGTGCAGCCAACTACAATCAACTCGTACTTTTGTTTTGTGACATATCTCAGAATATATTCACCAGACACAAGTGATACATAGATACAAGTCCTAAAATAGCCTTAAACAGCTAAGATGACAAAAGTAAAGATAAATAAAGGGAAATAACATTTTTTACTGTCCAGTGAGAAAATGTAGTTGCTGCCTACCAACTTGCGGCTTGGCATGGGCAGCGCTTACCCTCTGTGCATTTGTGTCATTAGACAGACGTTTATTCCTCACAGCATCGTCATAAAATGAATGACCAAGACCAGAAGAAAACAATTTTATTTGCAAAGTCGAACGCAACTGTACAGGAATGTCATGGAGCTACAATGTGAAATTGAAGTGAATGAACAAGTTTGCATTTTATAAGAGGTATATAGTGTATACTCATTTGGGCGTTCGCAGGAACTACATATCATAATGAACACGTTCGTCTGAAAAAATGATATGTCCTCACGTGCATCCTATGGGTACATATGCAGTCGAGTTAATGGTATATGTCTGATCGACATTTAATTGTTTATGTGAAACGGTTCAACGTTATCTGTAATGTTTGTTACATTTTCGAAGCTCCATTGAGATCTTTGCATTTCAATATATATTTACGGATAATAATCAACTGTGCTTCATAGAAAGTGGTGTAAATATTATGTTATTGACAATAATAATATCATATTTGGGCAATTGACAAAACCTGGTAACAGGAGACAGAGAGACACGCAATATCAATATCGGGTGTGACCACGATTTGCGTTGACACAGGCGAGGCAGCGGCTTCTCCTTGATGACTCCAGATGATTAAAAATAGCCTGGGGGATGTTGTTCCAATTTTCAACCAAAGATTGAGCCAAATGAGCTGGCGTTAACCGTTGGTTCTGGTCATGTCGTAAGCGTCCCCCATCCCATTCCAGATGTCTTATGGGGTAGAAATCTTGAGAAGCAGCCGGTCATGGCAGTATAGCAATGTTAAAGTGTGTTAAAGCAATGTTAATGCGAAAGTCTGTGACAACACCTGCAACGTGTGAGCGGGAATTATCCTGCTGCAAATGGGCGTTTACACAAAGGGTAGAACTTTATCACGAACAATATCCCCTGGTAGCGTACGCCATTCAAATAACCATTAACAAGGATGAGTTGTGTTCTCCCGTGAGAAGTAATGCCAACCCATACCATCACATTTCCACCCCAAAACTGACGACGATGATTTACGAAAGCGTCGCTAAAACGTTCTCCTGGACGCCTGTTGACCCTTGCAGGACAATCAGAGCTGTCCCGATGAAGCCTTGTCTTCTGAACATCAGATGCTGTTGACCCCAGCAGGACAATCAGAGCTGTCCCGATGAAGCCTTGTCTTCTGAACATCAGATGCTGTTGACCCCAGCAGGACAATCAGAGCTGTCCCGATGAAGCCTTGTCGTCTGAACATCAGATGCTGTTTACACCCAGCCAGGCGTGCCTGACGATGACGTGGAAGCAAAATTGATGTATCGCTGGACGTCGGCGGCGGATGTTGTGTTCTCTCAAACGGTCCCTGCCCTTTCTTGGTCTCAACCAAGGAATTGTGCGAGCTGATTATATTGTGTGGTTATCTTACGGAGTTGGCGACCGGTCCGGGGCAAGTCATGAGTGGTGTCCTGTTGAGATAATGTCTCCAAAGATGGTATTCTATTTTTCGATGAACATTAATATCTCTGGCAACTTTGTTTGTGCCATCCCTGTGTGCAGCAGACCCAGGGCGCGAGACGTTGATTTTCAGCAAGCCGTGGTATTGGGTAAGCGTTACTTACGGTAAAGCAAAAGTCTTTTACGAGCACCTGTGTGCTGTTCATATGAAAAAAAAAACGTGTGTGAGTATCGTGTTCCCAATCAACACGAAAACATCAAAACTGTGCGTCGTCAGGGAACATGCGCGTGCAAATAGTGAATCGCGACCTTAAAGTCGAGGAGATATTAATATGAATATGTATTGAAAGCTGCATTATTTAATTAAAAATAAAATTATTTTTATTGAATTTAATATGAAGCACACTTACGGTTTTTTCCGTTAGTATATGATAAGAACAGGTTCCATTAAAAAAATCTAAATTTCTTAATGATTAAAATACCACTTTGTATTTTCTTTATTCGTCTGTGATCTGTTTGACTTTAGTCATTTCTCCACTATGAAGCCGATTTTTGAAACGACGCATCAAAGCACACGCAACTCAGTTTCACATATTCCATGCAAAACAGAAATGGTTCGTTCAAAAGCAACACCTGCATGAGGCTGTACAGGGCGAATTGTTCAGGCATGTTAACTTCATTGCCGAAAGTCTTTTCGAGAGACATCAAAATGTCAGTTCTGAAATCCCGCAAAGAACGACGTGTCCACAAAAGAAATGGAAGTAACTGTCAACTGTTTAGTGATTGATGAAATATGTAAATCTAACTGAAATGTTGAGGCTTCCATGGAGAAATTGATGTGCTTAGGTCATTAGAAGTTCATGAAGAATTATTGATTTTGGAATCCCATCTTGTTGAGAAAATCGTATCAGCAATGCAAAGTTCAGTTGCTCCAACAAATCACATGTGTACATTAGGTGAAGTTGTTGAGAAACACGTGTAACTCTTTGGGAACACGAGTAGCTGTTAGGTTACATGTGTTTTAATAGAAAAATAACAAGTGAAGCCGTTAGTTGGAAATGCAGGCATTTTGTGTCATTATAAGCGGTTTTCACATTGACTTTCAGTTTGTTTTGGTCCGTAGAGCATTAACCATCATTCAGTGAGGAAGTATGAACGTGGTTTTCGAAATCACAAATCTCGTTTTACTTTTCACCACTTCATTCGGTAGACATGTAACTGCCAGCTGCAATGAGGCAAGGCTTATAGCTCCTGAAGATGAGAGATTGTATGAATGTATTTTCAAAATGACTTATAACATGTTATAGTTCGATAACAACAAACAGACTAGGACTATAGCACCAGCTGTGGGTGGAGGATGCATAACTTCGGTAGATAGTGAAGAATGCATTTACCATTTAAGTATGGCTTCATTACGTGGTATTCTCGGGTACCAATGGTTGATTATAAATGAAGCTTATACACACAATCTACATAAATGTATACACGTGTTTACTATGAATGTTTACTTGAAGCAGTATGGGTCGAACATATCAAGTTGTCATAGAGTATGTCACATTGCCTCACACTTCGAGTCATATATCCCAACAATTTGACACGAACTATGTCTCCAGAAGCTACAGGATGTAAGATGTCATGTGAATTTAATGTCGTTTCTTTTTAAGGCCCTCCAGTGATGGATCTTCATCCTATGTCACTACGCATAGAGAGTATAAGTCTTTCTTTCTTCGTTTCAGAAGAGTCTACGTGTTCCGGACGTTGTCTGAACGATGGTGCCGGTGCTGCAATGACGACTCCCCGCGAGGAACGTCTGCGACAGAGTACACCAGCATGTCGGAAACAGACGATATCCGCTTGACCGCTGACCCTGGAACGTCGACACGTGTTGGCAGGGTGCCATATGTGCGGCAAAAATTGTCGGAAGCGGACCGAGAAATTCTTTCTTTACATGTTACGTCTCATAATATTTGATATAATCAAATACGAAAAATATTGCAGCAAAAATAATCTTTTAACTCGGAGGAAAAAAATAACAGCTGATGGCAAAAGGAAGAAGATCGAAACTACTAACTGTTTTCTCATCTGTGTTTTATGGCCGTTGGGGGCGGGGTGGGTGAAATGTACTTAGACATGTTGAAATACGTTATAATAATATATAAGTTGTTTATACAGTTGTACTATTGTTTGTATGTCAATATTATACTGTCAGTAATCGTGGTCAATGAGCAACCTCTGCCAGTGCAATGTCCATGTCTATGTAAGGCAGGACCAGGGTCTCTGTGTTACGACTGACACTGTGGCAACTGTCCATGTCTATGTAAGGCAGGACCAGAGTCTCTGTGTTACGACTGACACTGTGGCAACTGTCCATGTCTATGTAAGGCAGGACCAGGGTCTCTGTGTTACGACTGACACTGTGGCAACTGTCCATGTCTATGTAAGGCAGGACCAGGGTCTCTGTGTTACGACTGACACTGTGGCAACTGTCCATGTCTATGTAAGGCAGGACCAGAGTCTCTGTGTTACGACTGACACTGTGGCAACTGTCCATGTCTATGTAAGGCAGGACCAGAGTCTCTGTGTTACGACTGACACTGTGGCAACTGTCCATGTCTATGTAAGGCAGGACCAGGGTCTCTGTGTTACGACTGACACTGTGGCAACTGTCCATGTCTATGTAAGGCAGGACCAGGGTCTCTGTGTTACGACTGACACTGTGGCAACTGTCCATGTCTATGTAAGGCAGGACTAGAGTCTATGTGTTACGACTGACACTGTGGCAACTGAACTCTTGGATCCTTGACTGCTGCAAGCAGGGTTAGTCAGTTTACACACACATCGTGTACTTCGGGGTCTGTGGGTAGACCCAGGATAATCTATCAGATCTGTGTTCGACTGAACGTTGTTACGGTAAAGACCAAGCATGAGACGGTAAAGGTCGATCTGAAGAACAACAATACAAGTGATGTTCATCAACATTTCGTAAGGCTTGTGTGAATGTGTCTAATCTGCACCGTTACTGTTTAGATTATTTCCATGTTCTGGCAGTGACTTATTGGCAACTCCAGTTGTTGTTTGTTGGGATGTATTGACATATGAGACAGATTATAATGTTCTTGTACTTGTTCGGGTTATACAATCTTTTCTACTGAATTCGTACAGGATCCCCTGATCATTAAATGTCACACTTGGTGTTTCATGACACATCACGTAGCAACAAATGTTATCGTGCCACATCAATGTTTAACAAGGTGCTGCTTTAGAACATAAGAGCAATGTTCATTCAGAACAGTAACAATGGCTGGTACCGCGTAGCAGCACCTGTAGCATGGCACAACTACAATAAATGGGAGGCTTTGAGAGTTCCTTATGGTAGTATATTCTGCTTCAGGACATAAGGGACAGTGAATGTGTGAGGCGACTCTTATTCTATTTTTCGGTTCACGGATTTGACCGATTGGAGCCAAAAGAGACACTCCCAGATTAAAGACAATATACACTCACTCAAAAAGGTATGGATGAATGAGCATGGTTTTACGCCGCTTTTAGCAATATTCCAGCAATGTTACGGCGGCGGACACCAGAAATGGGTTTCACACATTGGACCCTTGTCGGGAATCGAACCGGGGTCTTCGGCGTGACGGGCGAACGCTTTAACCACCAGGCTACCCGTCAATGGTGTTTGGAGCGTAGAAACCCGGGAAATCGCTGATGTAATGTTTCCAGATGAATTTTCTGGATAGTTGTGGTCCTGTCTTGGGGCGTCCCAACGAAACAGGTTTGGGGTGGTTCTGTATTGATATGCATCGGAAGACTACTGCTGCCAGAACGCCACTGGATATTGTTCATGGAAGGGTCATTTGACAGTACAACCTGAACAACACACTGGCGCTAATATACTGAACCGCAAATGAAACGTCACCCCAAGTAACATTGCTTGAAAAGTTGTCATTTAAATATCTTGGTAATTTTTGTCAAAGTTTCTAAAATTTAACATGACCTTGTCCGGAAAAATTAAATTTGACGATAAAAAAACAAAGCAGATGACAATAAAACCGATCGCCCAAATGCACATGCGTTCTCCCATTTCTTGCCCTATAAAAATCCACCCAGATCGAATAACATTCATTCGTTATTGAATTGATACCACATGCCAAGATTGAAATGAAATCAGCGACACCAAGCCATTGGACGATTGCAAGCTGGACAAACCACCCGGCAAGTAGCCAATGCATTTCAAGTCCAAGTACGGACCATATACAGGCTACAGCAACGGTACCAGACCACCAACACTACAGATGACCGACCACGAAGTGGAAGACCAAGGGTCACCACCCGACGTCAGGATCGTCAGATTGTGCGACAGCATCTTCAAGATTGCTTTGTTACTGCTGCGGAAACTGCTCGACAGACCATGGGGACACACCAGCGACACATTAGTGGGGACACAGTGCGTCGACGATTGACGAGCAGACACCTCCACTGTCACAGGCCACACCGAGGACCCATTCTGACACCACGTCATTGCCGGCACCGTCTTCAGTGGGCAACACAGCACCAGCATTGACGCAACCAGCAGTGGAGAAGAGTCCTCTTCTCAGACGAGAGCAGTTACTGTATCTCAACAGCAGATGGCAGAGAGAGAATCTGGCAACGCCGTGGGGAACGTTATTCTTGTGTTGTTGAGAGAGACTCGTGGGGTCTTCCGAGCATCATGGTGTGGGATGGATTTGGTCTTGCACAGAGGGTCGGCCCTGTGGTCTTCCAGATCATCAGTCCAGGGAGAGGCAATGGTGTCGCAGCAACTCGGTACATTAATCAAGTCTTGAGACCAATCGCCATACGTCATTTGGCACGTGGCCGTAACTACGAGTTTCAGCGTGATAACGCCCGTGCCCACACTGCGAGAGCAACAAGATACTTCCTCCAGCAGAATGGCATCAGAACCAGGCAGTGGCCTGCCCTCAGTCCCGATTTAAATCCCATTCAGCACCTGTGGGACGAGATTCAAAGACGGCTGAATGACGTCCGACCAAGGCCGACAACTGCAGCTGTGAACTGCGTCAGGTCATCCTCAGAGTTTGGGCTCAAGTGCCTATGGCCTACATCAACCCCCTCATCCATTCCATGTATCGACGTTGCACATCAGTCAACAATGCACACAAGGACACACGAGATACTGACTTGTGGTGCCATATTCTCAGAGACTAGTGTTGTGTTTCACTTTAAGAACATTTGACACTTTAATTTCAACCTTGATGATCAGTTTTGCCAAGTTTCATCTTTTAAATATGTCTCAAAGTATGTTTACAGCGTTTGGACAAATATGGTTTCTCATATATCTATCCAACCTGACGTTTATTTTGCGGTTAAGTATAGTTTTGCCGTTTTGGCGCCATGCCTTCAAGACGATAACGCTCGTGCCCACCGTGCACGTATCGTAACTGACGCAGAACATCAGAAGAATGCAATGACAAGCCCTGTGTCCTGAACTTTCCCGATACAGTGTGTTTGTTTGTTGATTAACGCCGTCCCCCGCAATATTCAAGCTTTATGACGGCGGTCTGTAAATAATCGAGTCTGGACCAGAAAATCCAGTGACTGATATCATGAGCATCGATCCAGGCAATAGGGATAGGATGACATGCATCAAACAAGTCAACGAGCCTGAAGACTCGACCCTGTTGCTGTTGTACATTTGCGACTTGCACTTGCGGCGTCCTTGGTGACTAGTGCCATCTTTGGCACACAGAATACAAAAATTATGGGAACACCAAAATATTCTGTTATAAAAAGGAACATTTAATGACATGTGATCGTATCATTACAATTGTGCATTAGCAGATTATCAAGCTTCAAAACAAAAACATTTACAGGTAGCTGTCATTGAAAAACACACATGAACAAGTCGAATAAGAAAGTTGGGGTCAAAAATGGAAATCACAATGTCAATAGCGAGTGTGTCCTCCACGTTGATTGATGCATTCGGTGCATCTTCGCCTCATGGATCTTGCAAGGGTGCGAGGGTAGCCTGTGGAATCGCGTGCCATTCCATTTGGAGCCACTGAACCAGAACCTGAAGAGCTGATGCAACTTCATGACTGTCCCTGACACGACGTCCCAGAACATCCCAAAGATACTCAATTGGAGCAAAATCCGGTGAATATGCTGGCCACTGCATCACAGTCACATTGTTCTGTTGCAGGAAGTCTCTAACGACTCTAGCCCGATGTGGTCTGGCATTGTTATCTTGCAGGATTGCTCCTGGACCAATGTTGTTTAACCGTGGTAGGACAAAAGGGCGCAAAATCTCGTCACGATACCTCACTCCATTCAAATTGCCTTGAACAAGATAGAGAGGTGTTCGGTGATGCAAACTGAAGCCTCCCCATACCATCACCGAGCCGCCGCCAAACCTGTTTCTTTCTCGTACAATGGCATCATCATAACGTTCTCCAGGACGTCTCATAAACCTTACCCTTCCATCATTATGCTCAAGACAGAAACGGGACTAGTAAGTGAAGACAACTCTGGACCATTGTTGATTATCCCATCTCAAATGTGCCCTGGCCCAGGCAAGTCTTGCAGCTCGGTGATGAGGACGAAGATGAGGACGCACAGCTGGACGACGTGACCTTAAATAAGCAGCTCTGAGGCGGTTCCTGATGGTCGATACACTTACGTTGGTGTGTGTTGCTTGTCGGAGTTGCAGTCTCAAAGCACTGGCTTTTGTGAACCGGTTCCGAAGGGCTTGCAGCACAACGTATCGGTCATCTGCCCTAGATGTTACTCTGGGTCTACCAGAACGCGGTCTATCCTGCACTCTCCCTGTTGTCTGGAACCGTTCCCTCAGTCTCTGAATGACAGACGGTGACACTTGAAGACGACGGGCAACATTCCTTATGGATGCACCATCTTGTAGCCACGCTATGGCCCTACTCCTGTCGTGAATGCTTAACGGTCTTCGCTGGGGCATGTTTAAGGAAATGTGTAACTTCACAGAAAAGTTGCCACCAACTGCT